CACTGGAAGCCGATAATGCCGTCCTGATAGCTATGAAATTTTGGTTACGGTCAAGTGCGACATCTATAGCTTTGATATTAAGGGAATGAAATTAACCAACAAAAAAGTTTTTTTAGTCTCCCCAGAGGCCACATTTATCACCCAAACACCAATAACTATTATACAGGGAAGGAAATCTGGTCAACGAAAAATATTGTTAAGCGGGTCAAATGAACTAAGACTAAGTCTGACTTTTTCACCGACTAGGGAATTAGTTTAGCAGAAAATTTAAGTCCGGTGGTAGTTGTGTATAATATGATAGTTGACCTCGTTTGGGTATACGACCCGTGAGAAAATACAAAAATTTCAATATGAAATCGAAAAACTGCATTGTTGTTGGTGTAATATCGAAAATTGTAAAAAATGCCAGCAAAAAATAAAAATGCTAAAAAAAGTGCTAGATGCTAGACGACTTTTTTGGTTGCTAAATGAGTTCGAAAAGTGCTAAATCTAGCACTAAAAGTGCTAAATTGGCAACACTGCAGATAAGGCTGGGTTTTTGAAAATTCGTACTATAAATGATCAAAAAGTACTAAAAAGTACGAAATGTGGTTTCATTTGTATTTGGCGAACCGTAGAGCTAGAACTCTTAAATTTGGAATGAAGGTCATTGATGGAGTGTGGAATAGAAGTTCTAAACTATAACCATCCGAGACGTACTAAAATATACTAAATTTGTTATAATTTCTTAGCATGTGAACGGGTAGACCCAAAAACATGAAATTATAAATGCGAATCAAGGTTGAGAAGTAGGGTCGATATAAGGGGGTTGTCTTGGAAGTGTGTACTAATGTAAATGAAAACCAGTAAGGAAAGTAGTAAAGTCGGACTGTGCCGACTATATGATACCCTTCACCACTTTGGGTATATTGTACATATGCATCCTAACAATTGCATGTCTATGTTCCCTCTTTCCTATCCTAACTTTAATTTCATTCGAGCAGATTTAGAGCCGCTTGCGTAACAATTGATACACGCTATTCGGTACGCCGCGTTGTTAAAAATATAATCTATATGTGGGAGCTATATCTGAATCTGAACCGATTTTCACGAAAATTAACATACATCTCTCTAGACTAAATTCAGTACGCTATGCCAAATTTTGTGCAAATCGAAGGATATAAAGGGACTTTGGTGCACTACTTACCTAAAATCGGACGAAAATATATATGAGAGCTTTATCTAAATCTGAACCGATTTTCACAAAATTTAACACACATCATTCTAGACCTAATTCATAACGCTGTGCCAAATTTCGTACAAATCGAAAGATATATAGGGACTTTGGTACACCATTTACCTTAAATCGGACGAAAATATATATGGGAGCTATATCCAAATCTGAACCGATTTTCAGGAAACTTGACACACATCATTCTAGACATAATTCATTACGCTGTACCAAATTTCATGCAAATCAAAAGATATATAGGGACTTTGGACACCATTTACCTTAAATCGCACGAAAATATATATGGGAGCTATATCCAAATCTGAACCGATTTTCACGAAACTTAACACACATCATTCTAGACCTAATTCATTACGCTGTGCCAAATTTCGTACAAAACGAAAGATATATGGGGACCGTTTACATTAAATCGGACGAAAATATATATGGGAGCTACATCTAAATCTGAACCGATTTTTCCCAATTTCAATAGGGTTCGTCCTTGAGCCAATTAAGTGACCTATGCCAAATTTCACCCAATTCGGATTATAAATGCGACCTGTACTTTTTTTACAATTTAACATCGACAGACGGACGGACGGACATGCATAAATCGACTCAGAAAGTGATTCTATGCATATTCTCAAAAGGAACCATGTGTCTGTCTCGTTTCCTTTTGAATGTTTCACTACATATGCACAAAGACATAATACCCTGTACCACAGAGTGGTGAAGGGTATAAAGGCATAATACCCTGTACCACAGTGTGGTGGTATAAATACTAAACGGTACGGTAAATTTGGTACAATTTGGAGTCTTGAAATTTTAAATTAACATTACCGTCGGATTGTAAGATTATTCCAAAAAAGTACTAACTGGTGCTATATATATTCAATAGAATTTGGATTTGGGTAAACCGATGGAGCAGAAATCCAGAAATAAGGTTACTGTTGCATTGTAGAATTGAAGTATGCAGGTGAAATTCGTACTTATGTGTACTAGATGGTAATAAATTTGGTAAAATTTGAATTACGGATGAACCGATAGAGCTGTAATCCTGAGCTTTGGAGTTAGGATCGCTGTCGAAGTGTAGAATAGCAATAAGTAGGAAGTTTTGAAAATTCGTGCTAATGTGTACTAAATTTGATACAAATTGAATTTTGGGTGAATCAGAATCAGAGCTAGTATCCAGAAATTTGGAGTTATGATCTTTGTTGGGGAACTCGTACTAATGTGGACTAAATGGTACAATTTGGATTTGGGTGAACTGATAGGTGTTGGGATATGTAGGAAGTTTCGGAAACTCGTACATATGTGGACTAAATGGTACTAAATTTGAATTTGGGTGAACTGGAGTCTTGAAATTTGGAAATGTGATTTTCATTGGATTATTGAGGTAGGTATGAAAATGTATATTATTGTGTACTTAAACTCCTTGTACATTAGAACTTTTTACCGGGTTAACCTACTTTATGAGGATTTATTTGACATATATGCAAAGGAAATGACAATTGAAACCCACTTGGTTAACGAAATATGGTTAAATGTAAATGTACTATTATAGAGCTCGAATGAAATGTGGAATTAGCTTTGGAAATAAGTACTACAGGAGTACAAACGGTAATAAATGGCTAGAATTGGTGTGTACTGTTGAGATATGGAGGTAGTGTTGGAAGTTCGTGCTATAAGAGAATAAAGGTTCTATATAATACTAAAATGGTCGATATTGATTGATTAGCTTCTTCTGACATATGTAGTTTTCTGTGAAAAAATAATATATTTTGATAACGAAGTAGCGGGTATATACAGTATATATATATACAGTGGCTCCATCGCATAATCGGACAAAAGTTTTTCTAATATAAATGTATTCTGAACATTAAAAAAGAGTTAAACATATATTTTTTATATTGGTAGTTTTCATTATATTAAGGTTCTGTTTACTGACGAAAGCAAATTTAATTTGCACGGATCAGATGGAAAGATGTATGTGTGGCGTAAGCCAAATGCTGAATTTAATCATAAGAATACAAAAGCCACTGTTAATCACGGAGGAGGTTCTGTTATGGTTTGGGGCTGCATGTCGAGTGCGGGATTAGGCAATTTGCATTTTATTGATGGTAAAATGGACAAATTTGTCTACCTCAAAATTTTAAAACAAAATGTAAAGCAAAGTGCAGACAAATTGGGTATCGCGAACAACTTTGCCTTTTATCAAGACAACGATCCCAAGCACACATCAGGTGTTGCAAAGCTTTGGTTGATTCATAACTGCCCCAAACTTATACAAACACCTGCACAGAGCCCAGACCTTAACGTAATTGAGCATATTTGGGAAGAATTAACTAGGAGAGTGTATGAGAAAAAATTTAACTCCTTAGTGCAGCTTAAGGAGGGCTTTACTGAAATCGTGGAACTCCATAGAGCAGGAGGTATGCCAGAATTTGGTCAAATCAATACCTAAGCGTTTACAGGCCGTTCTGGATATGAACCTAAATATTAATTTCTCGATTTTTTGCATTTTTTAACATTGATACTTTGCTTTGTCCGATTTTGCGTTGAACACAATAAATTGAGTTAATTTAGTTTTTCTGGCGAAATTTACTGTTATCACTAGGAAAGTTGTTGTTTTTTGTATTGTTCAGAAATAAAAGTAAGTAATGTGTAAATAAAAGTGAAAAAACTACACATTTAGACAATTTCTTTGAAATGTATAGCATCATTATATCTGACAACCACATGTCCGATTATTCGATGGAGCCACTGTATATTATTTTTTTTTTGCTGCAATTTAGTATTTTGGATCCTCGTAGGGTAGAAAATCTCCATATCAAAAGTTTTAACGGTACCCCCCATAAATCGGCATTTTAGGGATTCTGATAAATTGATATTTTGAATTCTCATTGGTTGCCTAAACTTCCAACCGAAAATTTACCATGGCATAGCCACCACATTAAAGTTTTAATTCTTTTTAGGTTATATTATTATATTTAGGATTATATTAGTTCAATACAACATTTTGTAGACTTAATTCACCCTGTTTGAACTATTTTTGTTTTCTTTCGACAATAAATAGTTCCGCATAAATTTAAATTTTGACTCATATTGTTATTCAAATTCCAAAAATAAAAAAATTAAGAATTTCCAAGTTTCCCCAAAAAAAATCTACTTCATAAAGCATCATCGTCATCATCTACTTGGTGGTCGTAATAAAAGTTTAATTAGACAAAATTCAATTTGCTCTAACAAAAATTTAGTTTAAATTTACTTTTATTGCCGCCAATCCATCCAAGCAACCAAACAACGGCATTCTTTCTCTACTATCCATCAAAATAAGGTTTGTCAGTTTAAATCAATGAATGCTCGGTAGCCAGCCGACAACTTGCCTCTGTTAATTCGTTCATTAGCATTATCCGTATTTATCCCCCAGTGTGCGAAGGTAAAACGGTGCCAAACAAGCCGTTCATTCAGCGTTTCAAACATCTTTCTTTTTTCCGTCCAGTTGGGCGGCATTGAATTTCAGTTGTTTAGCGGACTTCAAGCGCGAAACAGCGGCATTTTAAAGAAAACGGGAATTAGAAAACGAAAACGACGGCACGAGAAACAGCACGGTTTTATTTTATACAAGTCGTTTTTACCTTCGAGTGTGGAATTCTCCTTCGGAAAGAAAATAAATTAAACAAGTCATTAAATAAATTCAAAGGAAGAAAAAAGAGTTAATATCCGTTGCTTTCCTTGGTGTGACATTTTTTCGAACCTTTTTTTATTGACAGCGGTGTTATTATTGTTGTCGTTATTATGGCTGATGGTGTTCTAAGAGGATTTGTTCGGGATTTTTTTGCGGTTAGTGGTGTTTGTTGATGTCTAAATAAATTTTGAAAATATAAATGCTAAAAGATTTTTTGTTGTTGCGTTGTGAACGTAGAAAATAAAAAAGGATATTGAAATAAATTATTAAGGATAATAAATTATTAAAAAGGACATTCAAATAAATAATAAATTATTTTAAAAGGACATATTCTCCTTAATATCCTGATACTGCTAAAAATACTTTGAGATGAAAATGATAAATTATCGAGTTAGTGTAACTATTTTTAATCCAAAGGATTTAAATAAATAGAATGGATGATTGATTTAATAAACAAACCTTTTCAATTATTTGAATTGGTAAAAACGCAAAAGTTTCTGAATAATTTATGTGATGAAAAGATTGTAACAGTAGCGCTTTGACTTCTGTAATCCTTGAAAATACCTAACAGGAAAATTAATTATTGAAGATGTGATTTTTAATTGATATATTTCCTGCCAAACTTATCCTGAAAAATAAAAAAAGTTGGAAAATAATATGGTGCCATAAATTACACTGTCCAACAAGATTTTGGTTTGTGAAATCTCTGGGCGAGTTTATTATGAACACAGAAGAACAAATTCGCCATAGGTCAAGTTTTTGAGTTATGGCGTGATTAAATTATTATTTTTGAAATGACATATCTTCAGTTAAATCGAATGACGAATATTTTTGTAAAACATGTCCACCTTCTATAACGAGTCCTTGTGCCTCTTTTTTTCGTCCTTATTTTCTTGAGCCGTAAACTAATTACCGCAAGATATGATTTTTTGACCTCCAAATATTCTACAAAAAGGTTTATTAATATTGGTATTATTATCTGAAAATCCTGTTTAAAAATTAAACCACTCTCCTACGAATGTTTGGTAGAATGAGAAGTATTTATGTTTAATATCCGACAGTTCTTTGTAATCAATAATGTATGCGAAATGTATTGCTTTACGAAGATAATAGGTTATATGAACAAGGATCGGTTAAAAGAGGAAAATGCTATGCGAGATTGGATAAGTCTTCGAGGACCCTTTCTAACGGATATAGCTGGACTCCAAAATTCGTTCGTGGAAATTCGTACTTATGGGTAGGAAAAGCAGAAAATTCGAATCCTGAAAATTGCAACTTTACAATTTGGTCAACGGACAGAGCTGAAATTCTTAAATTTTGTCTTACGATTACTATTTAAAATCAGGCTTGGAATATTGATATAGGTTTGGAATATAGGTACGAAAAGTACAGAATGGTACCAAATCTGGTATAATTTGGTATTTAATGAAAAGACAGAGCTGGAATTCTTAAATTTGGACTTGAACTTTAGTGGAGATTACTGTTAGAGTGTAGGATTGATGTAGTTGTAGAAATTCTTACTAATTTGGAACAATTTAAGTTTGTTTGAATCCTAAGATTTGGAATTTAGAGAGTCTGGAAAATGTGTACTTATGTGTTCGAAATGTGCTAAATGGAACTAAATATGGAATCTATACGTATTTGCTAAAATATATAATTGTAATTCTGATCTATTTATAATTTGTGTAATGGAAATAAGGAAGAGATTTCGGAAAATAGTGCTTATGTGTATGAAGAGTACTAAATAGTAATAATCCAGATATTAAATGTATTCCCTTTCCGCATACGAAGTAGTGGGCACATTGCTAGTAATTTATACTTGAAAAATTGTATATAACATCGACATACGTCAAAATATTAACATGAAATTATGGTCAATTAAACATATATGTAGAATTGGTGATTATAACGACAGTAAACATCAGTAATTTGAAAATATTTTTTTCCAAAAAATTGAGTTTAAAAACCTAGTTCCAAGTATTGCCAGAGGATATTTTAATGATTATAACACCACGCCTTAATATGTTCTCAGTCCAGAATTTGGCGACCGTTCATAAACTTAAGAGTTATTGCCCACAACATAAAAATAGTCGTTAAAACTGACTTCTAAAAATTAATAAATTATTAATTATTAATTTTGCTCCACTATTTGGGGTAGCCCTATATTATTTTGTGTGCGTTTTTCAACAAAATTGGTTGTAATTTAGTAGTACATAGTTTGATTTCTCATTGGCTGTGTATTCTTTATATCAAAAACTATTAATATTGACATGAAGTTAGGGGTAGGCCCTTATATAAGCGGTATTTTGAGCTCGTTTTTCATTCAAATCGGCGATGTTTCACATTTACTTAATGTATGTCATAATGTTATACCCATAATACATAAACCAACGATTTAATACTATTTTGAATTTAAAAACTGTTTCTTGCAACTGTCAACGATCGGTATAACGAACATTCACTTTTTACATTGACTACCGCATATAACGAACGTTTTCCAAATTTGTATACTGATTATAACAAATGGTGCAAAAAAAAATGATTTTGTCATATAAAAACCAGTAAGGAAAGTAGTAAAGGCGGACTGAGCTGACTATATGGGTATATTCTACATATGTATTCTAACAGACGTCGCCTGCGAAAAAAACATTGGGAGTTTGGTGCAACATTTACGTAAAATCAGACGAAAATATACATGTTGCAAAATTGTCTATAGTGCACAATTTACATAAAATCGGAAGAAACTATATATGGGAGCTGTATATAAATCTAACCCGATTTTCACGAATCTTAGCAGATATCATTTAAGGCCCAATTCAGTACGTTATGAAAGATTTCGTGCAAATCTAAAGATATATTGGGACTTTGGTGCACAATTTACATTAAATCGGACGAATATATATACACCTAAGTCTGTTTTTACACGGTCTTTTTGTACACGGTTTTGATATAACACGGTTTGAAAATTGAATATTTTTAATTTTTTTAGACGATTTTATTCCATTTAGCACGATTTGAAATTTTATGTACTTACATTTTTTTGTCAAATTTAATTTTTGCGAAGTATGTTCATATCACAAAAAAGTATTTATGAAAGAAAAAAGTCTGAAACCATCGATAGTATCGATAGTTTGCGAAAGCTAGCTTAAAGATTTAAGTGAATTTCCCTTTAGCGCGTACAAACAATTTTTACTGGTCAAAGCAAATGTGAATAGCACTAATTTAGGGGAATTCCCTTTATGTATAAGATCAATGTCTTTTTTTACACGGCTTCTTCTGGAACCAATCTACCGTGTAAAAAAGGACTTAGGTATATATATATGGATGTGCGCCAAATATCATCCAATTCGGATCATAAATGCGACCTGCACTTTGTTTACAATTTAAAATGGACAGACAGACGAACGGACATGCATAAATCGACTCAGAAAGTGATTGTATGCATATTCTCAAAAGAAACCATGTGGCTATCACGATTACAAACATATGCACAAAGACATAATACCCTGTACAGGAGTGAGGTGAAGGGTATAAAAAAAAATTAAAAACGTGGGTTTCGGCCCAACTTTTTATAGCCTCTACCATGAAGTGAGTATTTAAAAAGTAGATTGGCGCCAACCGGTATGGTCTCCTGTTTCTTCGGTATGTGGTCTTTGGAGAAATATAAAATGTGAAAACGTTGTTTTTTTTTTCTACAGAATATTTCAAATGATTATTTATATCCCCACGTCAAATTTAGCTTCATCATTAATATTCCAAATTATATTAATTTAAGTTTATTATGCTCTGGGGTCACTGAATTCTATTAAAGGTTTAACCTGCCCTCAAAAGACACTTATAAACTAACTCGCATACACACATTGTGACCTTGAAATCATTCTAGTATACTCCTCCCTCACATTGGAATTACTATAATTTATTTATGTATGAGGAGAATGTATTGGTGGTGGAGGGATTTCCCATCACCACAACAATGAGTGACGGCCTAACTAACTGACCAAACTCAATTCTTTATTATTGTTTTATTATTTCCAATTGTTTATTTGTGTTGTTTGCTCTTCATCGTTGTTGTTGTTGTTCTATCACACACACAAACATATTAACACTAGAACGCCGAAGGCAGTCATTTTGACTGCTTTCCAATTTCAAGTACAAAAGCAACTGTGCATTTAATGACACTTTTTTTTAAAATATGGTGACTTTTTGTACCTCATAGAATTACGTTTATTATAAAAAATTCACCAAATTTAAAAAAAAAGTGTCATTAAATGCACAGTTGCTTTTGTACTTGAAATTGGAAAGCGGTCAAAATGACCGCCTTCGGCGTTCTAGTGTTAAATGGTTTGATTAGGCCGAGAACATTTGTAGTACATTGATATTGTTGTTTTTTTTTTGTAGGGTTTGAAATCTATAATTTATTTATAAATCAAATGAAATGTTCTATACATATACCTATACGAAGAATTTCCTTGAGAATATAAACAGCTGTGATAAAATGGTATAACATTCCAAATGTATTTTCAAGGACAATGTCAGGAGAATCAGGATATTTCGAAAATAAATTTAAATTTAACAGGGGTAACTCCAGGGTGGCATGGAAGGACATTTTTTTTGTGGAAGGAGTTGAAAACGGTCATTATAGAGGAAATGGAAGGAGTATTTGTAGAGGAGTTGGAGGAGAAATTATAGACGAGCTGAAGGGAGTCTTTATAGACGAGCTGAAGGGAGTCTTTATAGACGAGGGAGTCTTTATAGACGAGCTGAATCTGGGAGTCTTTATAGACGAGCTGAAGCTGGGAGTCTTTATAGACGAGCTGAAGCTGGGAGTCTTTATAGACGAGCTGAAGCTGGGAGTCTTTATAGACGAGCTGAAGCTGGGAGTCTTTATAGACGAGCTGAAGCTGGGAGTCTTTATAGACGAGCTGAAGCTGGGAGTCTTTATAGACGAGCTGAAGCAGGGAGTCTTTATAGACGAGCTGAAGCAGGGAGTCTTTATAGACAATCGGAAGATAGGGAACCAATATAAATAGTCCGTAGGCAGTTGGTCTCAATAGGTGAGAAGTATTCTAGGTAATCTTTGTAGAGGAGCGGAAATCGAGATATCTTTACTGTGGTTCTATATATGGGCGAGTTGAAAGGCTGAGATTTTTTATGGAGAAGTTGAGAGCATACGACTTTATAGATTCATTTAAGAGCAATAAAATTCAAAGCTTCGCCCACTGTGCCTTTCCTGCGGAATACTATATTATTCTTCCTTTCATTAATTACCTGTCATACTCATTGTTGCTGCTGCTGTTAATGTGGATAATATGGCTCTGGGGCGGATTAGTTGTGACTTAATTTGTTTAGTCTGTAAAAAGCGCATTGTTTTACTGCTAATCCATGGCGGAATGTCAATACCAAGCAACAGTGCTAATAATAATTATAGACAGACGGTGACGGCCAATAACCATGAATATGGAAAAACAAAAAAGGAGAAGACAGTTCAAAAAAGAAAACCGAAAAGTAGAAAAGACAAGACGATGAATAAGATGTCACCCTTAGAAGACATAGATATATATAACTACATACATACATATGTAAGTACGTGGTATAGATTTCATCCATAGTATTTTTTTTGACACTCAACTATGAAGGTCACAGACACACAGAGAGGCCTGTAAGTCTGCTATTGGTGGCCAGCGATGAAACGTTTGTGGCACAAATCTTGGCTGGTTGAAAGAAAGACGACAAACAAATAAACAAAAAAAAAGTAAAAAAAAAAATAGTTGATATGAAGGTTCCCAACAGTAGCCACGTTACCATAGAACTCAAGGCATAGCAAATTATGGATTTTTCCATAATTTTTGTAATAATAAGTATTTGTGGATTTCTAATAAAATCAAAGAGGTTATATTTTTGGTTCTCCAATAAAATGTATAGGAAAGTAAAGGATAATGGAAAGGTAACTTTTTGGAGCATACACACATATTCAATTATTTATAGATCTTCTTTAAATAATATTAATTTATTTTTTGTTCTCTTCCTAGGTCAAATATGATCCCGTCCAACATGACCCACAGGCAAATGTTATCGATGGCTCGGGACGTTGTTATCCGAATTGTGATTCCAGCGTATGGCTGAGATCTTGTGTAAAGGAAATAATTGAACCTCTGGAGGGACATGTCATTGGCAATATACCCACATGGTTAAATGGTAGCCTATTGCGTAATGGCCCTGGCAATTGGAAGGTTGGCGATATGACCTTCCAACATTTATTCGATTGTTCGGCACTGCTGCATCGCTTTGCCATTCATAACGGCAATGTGACCTATCAGAATCGTTTTGTACAAACGGAGACAATGAAAAAGAATAATGCTGCCCAAAGAATTGTGGTAACGGAATTTGGTACAGCCTCTGTGCCAGATCCATGCCATTCAATATTTGATAGGTAAGAATATTGTAAATTATTTTTGTTTTTAATAATTTTGAATTTAAATATGTTCTCTTTTCAGGGTCTCAGCAATATTTCGTCCTGATAGTGGTTCCGACAATACAATGATCTCAATATATCCTTTTGGGGATGAGTTCTATACATTTACAGAAAACCCCATGATACATAGGTAAGATTAGCCTATATTAGCCCCTGAATCAATCCACGCCTATTTTGGCCATCTAAAAAATATTCTTTAAGCAATCCACGCCTTTTTTGACCTTGGAAAAAATATTTTTTTATAAATCCAACCTTATTTTGGTCTATCCTCTTTTGGCCCTTAAAAACTATTCTTTAAAAATCGACCCCTATTTGTCCCTTGACCTCTTTTGGCCCTTAAAAACTATTCTTTAAAAAATCGACCCCTATTTGTCCCTTGACAAATATTTGTTAAAAAATCCGCGATTTGTTGCCTTGTGGAAAAAAAATATTTTTTTTAAATAGACGCCTTCTTGGATTGTGGAAAATTTATTTTTTTAATCTAGGCCAATTTAGACCCTAGAAAAAGATTTTTTATAAATCCAGGCCAATTTAGACCCTGGAGAAAATATTTTTACAAATCCACGCCTATTTTGACTATGGAAAAAGATTTTTATACATCCACGCCTATTTTGACCCTGGAGAAAGATTTTTTTATAAATCCAGGTCAATTTAGACCCTGGAACAATATTTTTTTATAAATCCACGCCTATTTTGACCTTGGAAAAATATTTTTTTATAAATCCACAACTATTCTGACCCTGGAAAAGTATTATAAATCCACGCCAACCTTATTTTGGCCTATCCTGTTTTATAAATCCACGCATATTTTGAGCCTGGAAAAATATTTTTCTTTTAAATCCACGCCTTGTTGGTTTGTGGAAAAAAATATTTTTTTAAAAATCCATTCTTGTTGGTGGATTGTGGAAAAAAAATTTGAAAGACCACGTTCCAAGATGTTGTTTTCTACTTGGTCTTTCCATCTGATTTGTGGTCTTCCCCTTCTACGGGAACCATCAGTAGGCTCGCTTTTATATGCCTTTTGAACTGGGACATTCTCATTCATTCGCACAACATGGCCTAGCCATCGTAGTCGCTGCAGATCAAATCGATGTCCGCGTATAAATTGTAAAGCTCGTGGTTCATTCGACGCCGATATTCACCGTCGACGCAGATCGGCCGTAGATCTTTCGGAGAATTATTCTTTCATGTCAACTATAATACAGTGCATAATCGTCTGATTTACTTATGCCCACAATTGAGATGAAAGAGGGATCAAGATAAGCCTGGACTTCACCATGTTAAAGCCAATCAGAGCCTTTGCTTGGTATCTATCATCCCCTACGCCACCACGCTTATATTATATCAGCTTTTGAAAAAATAATAATCACGCCTATATAGCCTCCATGTCGTCTATAGAGACTTCCTCCAGCTCGTCTATCCAACTCCCCATAAAGACAATCTCCAACTCACATTTAAGCTCGCCTATAAAGACTCCCTTCAGTTCGTATATAAAGACTTCCACCAGCTTGTCTTTAAATTCATCCTCTAGTTTGTATATAAAGACTCCCTTAGCTAGTCTTTAAAAACTCCCTCTGGCTCGAACATAAATACTTCTGCCAAATGGTCTATAAAGACCCCCATCCAACAGGCCAATGGAAACTTCTGTTGTTGGGACTTTTCTCAGCTCTCTTCTCCTGTTCTGCATACAAAAAATGTTAAATATATGGCGTATACTTTATGACAGCACTTATACGCCCCCACATTGACTGGTTCTCATTATATTCTCCTCTTTTGTTTTATTTACAGAATAAATCCCCGCACATTAGCCACCGAGGGGCGGATTTGTGTCACAGATTATACAGGTGTTGTAAATCATACCTCTCACCCGCATGTTATGCCCAATGGCACTGTCTACAATTTGGGTATGGCATCAACAAAATCGGGCCCAGTTTACAACATTATCTGCTTTCCACATGGTGAAGGTATGTTCGAAAATGCCTATGTGAAGGCTCAAATACCCTGTCGATGGAAGTTGAATCCTGGTTATATGCACACATTTGGAGTGACGGATAACTATTTCATAATTGTCGAACAACCTTTGTCCGTATCGCTGCCGGAATTCTTAAAGGCACAAATATTCAATCAAAACTTCTCAGCCTGTCTGAAATGGTTCGATAACAAACCCTGCATATTTTATTTAGTTGAACGCCGTAGCGGTGAAGTTGTGCACAAATTTCAATCCGATCCATTTTTCTACCTCCATATTATTAATCAATACGAACAGGATAATCATGTGGTCATTGATATTTGTTGTTATAAAAATCCCGAAATGATCAATTGTATGTATTTGGAATCGATGATGAATATGCAATCGAATCCAAATTATGCCTCACTGTTTCGGGGTAGACCTCTAAGGTTTGTGCTCCCACTGGCAAGTAAATCACAAGAGGATTTAATCAGTGAATCGCAACGTCAACTGGGACGAAGACAAAGACTTATGAAATCCTTTACGCTCTCGGGTATCAGTGCAAGACTACAACAACCAAAATTGAAACGTTCTCAAACCGAATATGAGGATATCAATTTTGCGATGAATAATAATCCCGAAGTGACCAAAGATGATTACAATTTTACGAGTAAAAATGAAAAATATGAACTGTCAGAGAATTTAATAACTCTGAGGAATACCAAAGCGGAGGCGTATCATACATCGAATAATGGTCCAATATTTGTGAGACCAGAAATGCTTTGTGATCTCGGCTGTGAAACACCTCGCATAAATTATGAACGATATTTGGGTAAGGATGGAGGAGAGGGTTTTATTAGGAGTGCTTTAATAATTTGTCTCTTTTCAGGTAAACCTTATCGATATTTCTATGCAATTAGTTCCGATGTGGATGCAGAGAATCCGGGAACGGTGAGTATAACAGACAAACAAACACCTCCTGAATTTAATTTATATGAAAAATCAAGGCGTATGAGTGACAAACTTACTTATACGCCCCAGGCTTACATATAGGGTTGTAAGGAGGAATTCGCGAACAGCTGTAGTGCATTTTTTTAACGAGCTATTAGTATAGTATTTATAGTCGATCTGAAAATAGTCTTTTCAGACCAGGTTTTTCATAGACGAGAGAGGAGTTTTTGGACTTTTCCTAGAGGGTTGAGATCGGAAGATCGGGAGAGAGAGCGTCTTTATAGAACATCTGAAGGTAGTCCTTATAGACGAACTGGAGGGAGTCTGTATAGACGAGCTGGAGGGAGTCTGTATAGACGAGCTGGAGGGAGTCTGTATAGACGAGCTGGAGGGAGTCTGTATAGACGAGCTGGAGGGAATCTATATAGACCAGCTGGAGGGAGTCTGTATAGACGACCTGGAGGGAATCTATATAGACCAGCTGGAGGGAGTATTTATAGACCAGCTGTAGAGAGTCTTTATTGTCAAACTGGAGGGAATCTTTATAGATCAGCTGTAGGGAGTCTTTATAGACGAGCTGAGGGAAGTATTTTTTGGAGTGTTGGTGGGAGCTGAAGGGGTCTATATACATAGCTTAAGGAAGTCTTGGTGAATGAACTGATATTTTATATGGGACATAGAGGCCGGAGAGTATTTATAGATGTGAATGCCAGGCATAGACGATCTGAGGCGACCTGACGCCAAGGGAGGCCATCCCAGGAATCATTATAAACTATAGTTGGATTTTTTAAAAAATGTTTTTGGAAGGCTGCATAAGGCTTGGTTTTTTTCAAATATTTTTGTGAGGCTACATAAGGCGTGGATTTTTTATACCCTTCACCACACTGTGGTACAGGGTATATTTTTATATGTTGTGCATATGTTTATAACATGCAAAAGGAAACGAGATAGACATATGGTTCCTTTTGAGAATATGCATTGAATCACTTTCTGAGTCGATTTGTGCATGTCCGTCCATCTGTTGATGTTAAATTCTAAACAAAGTACGAATTTATAATCCGATTTAAATGAAATTTGGTACAGCTCATTTATTTGGCCCAAGGACATACCCTATTGAAATTGGGAAAAATCGATTTAGATATATCTCTTATATATATTTTTGCCCGATTTACGGACTTTAGTCCCTGAAAATCTTTCGATTAGCACGAGTTTTGGCATAGCGTACTGAATTAAGTCTAGAAAGACGCGTGCTAAGTTTTGTGAAAATCGGTTCAGATTTGGATAAAGCTCCCATATGTAGTTTCCCCCGATTTTAGATATATGGTGCACCAAAGTCCCTATATATCTTTCGATTTGCACGAAATTTAGCATAGCATACTCAATTAGGTGTAGAATGATGAGTGCTGAGTTTCGTGGAAATCGGTTCAGATTTATATATAGCTGCCATATATAGTTTCGTCCGATTTTATGTAAATGGTGTACCAAAGTACCTATATGTCTTTCGATTTATGCGAAATGTGGCATAGCGTACTTAATTAAGTGCAGAATGATGTGTGCTAAGTTTCGAGAAAATCGGTTCAGATTTAGATATAGCTCTCATATATATTTTCGACCGATTTTAGGTAAATACTGCACCAAAGTCCCTATTCGAGTTGCACGAATTTTGGCGTAGCGTACTAAATTGAGTCTAGAATGGAGTGTGCTAAGTTTCTTGAAAATTGGTTTCGATTCAGATACAGCTCCCATATATAGTTTCGCCCGATTTTATGTAAATGGTGTACCAAAGTACCTATATATCTTTCGATTTGCAGGAAATTTGGCGTAGCGTACTAAATTGAGTCTAGAATGACGTGTGCTAAGTTTCGTGAAAATCAGTTCAGATTTAGATATAGCTCCCATATATAGTTTCGTCCGATTTAAGGTAAATGGGACTCCAAAGTCCCTATATATCTTTCGATTTGCACGAATTTTGGCGTAGTGTACTAAATCGGTTCAGATTTAGATATAGCTCCTATATATAGTTTCACCCGATTTTAGGTAAATGGTGCACCAAAGTCCCTATATATGTTTCGATTTGTGCGAAAGTTCTCATAGCGTACTGTCTGCTAAGAGACATATGTAAAATATACCCAAAGTGGTGAAGGGCCCAGTCCGACTTCATAAGTCGTGGATTTTTTTAAAAAGTTTTTTTTTTATGACGCCAATTCCGCAATTAATTAGTTTCCTATCTTCCCTCTCTTTTTACAGTTAATCAAGGTCGATGTTGTCAATAAAACCTGTCAGACATGGTGCGAAGATGACTGCTACCCTAGTGAACCGATATTTGTGCCCTCACCCAATTCACAGGATGAAGATGATGGCGTCATTTTAGCCTCAATGGTTTGGGGTGGATTCAATGAGAATAAAGTTGGTCTACTGGTGTTGTGTGCTAAGACCTTTACCGAAATGGGTCGTTGTGTTTTCCACACCAATGGACCGGTACCCAAGTGCCTGCATGGTTGGTATGCCAAGGATATTGTGTAAATTTGGAATAAGATATATATTTTATAATTTTTTAAGCTTAAAAGTAATAATAATTGGGATTTTTATATATTCTAAGAAAACAAATTGTTTTTGGCATTAAATATTTGTAAGAACAACTTTATACCCTTTTCGCTTACCTCTAATGTTTCCATATAAAATAAAACATATTAATATATTCCCCCATGTCCTGTTTTATTGAAAATCTCATTATGAAATATTGGAAAAAATTTAATGCAAATACTGTTATTTTAAAATTTCATATTTATGATATTGTATATGAACTCCTCCCATTTCTTTTGGAATATGCGATTGAGTTTACGTCGTTCCTCGGATGACAAAATTGCATATCTGCAAGGAAGGTTAACAAAATCAAAATTTATTAATTCCGTATTTTTAAAAATAAATATCTGCTTCCTACTTTATCGAATTCAATGCCAATTGTTTTAAAAATCTCAAATCTGCCTCGGCCGGTGCAAATGCCATGAAAGCATAATAGAAATCATAGCTTAAACCCTTGGCATTCCATACGCCAGGATCATCGGACGATATAACGATGGGAAAATTCTCCGCAATTAAAAACGATGCCGGATGATTTCGTAAATCCCAAATATATCCCAAAACTTGATTTGACAGCGGATTCACTTCAATGGCAATGTTACGTTTCTTAATGGTCGACCACAACTGAGGATGTTTGGGCAGTGCAAAACCATGACCAATACGTTTGGTATTTAGCAGGAGGGCATCCATCATATTCCAATCGGTTTTGCCATACCAATCTGTAATTAAAATTAAGATTCAAATTATTTTTGTTTTGTGAAAAAAATATAGGAAAACTCTTACTTGTCTCTCCGGCATGAAAGAAAAAATTAGCAGTCGGTGGTAAATCGGTTAATTCATTGGCGAATTTGTGCAGGGGATCTCCGGCATCTTCGTTGCCAATCAAATCAAAGCCGATGATGAAATTTGGTTTAGCATTGCTGTAAGGAAGATAAAAAATAATTTATTGAAAGGGGTATATACTATCATGAAGACATAGTCGATTTTTAAAGACATAGTTGATTTTTGAAGACATAGTCGATTTATTGTGGAAGAACGTGATGGCAACTAAATAGCTTCTCAAAACGTTAAAGGTAAAATGGTAGGGAGGTTCCCCTTAAATGGTTAGAAGATGAAAGCAGTAAATTCTCATCCTCCATTTAAAGGTTAGGTGAAGACAGTGAGTTTTAGTTTTATATACGAACTGATACCAGATATGTCTTTAAATCCAACATAACTAACACTGGACTCAAAGGACAACTCATGTCATGGACATTGAATATAGACCCAAAAGGAAACGATATAGACCCATGGTTACTTTTGAGAATAAGCATAAAATCATGTATGTCCGTCCCTCCGTCTGTAGATGTACAATTATAAACTAAGTACAGTTCGCATTTATAATCCGATTTGGATAAAATTTGGCACAAGTCACTTATTTGGCCCAAGGAAAAACCCTATTGAAAGAAAATCGGATCAGATTTAGATATAGTTCCCGTATATCGTTTCATCCCATTTTATGTAAATGGTGCACCAAAGTCCGTATATATCTTTCGATTAGCACAAAATTTGGTATAGGGTACTGAATTGAGTCTTGAATGACGTGTGTTAAGTTTCGAGAAAATCGGATCAGATTTAGATATAGCTCCCGCATATAGTTTCGTCCGATTTTATGTAAATGGTGCACCAAAGTCCCTATATAGCCTTCGATTTGCACAAAATTTGGCATAGGGTACTGAATTAGGTCCAAAATTATGTGTGCTATGTTTCGCGAAAATCTGTTCAGATAAAATATAGCTCCCATATATATTTACGTCTGATTTTATGCAAATAGTGCACCAACGTCCATCTACATCTTTCGATTTGCACGAAATTTGGCATAGCGTTCTGAATTGAGTCTAAAATGACGTGTGTCACGTTTCGAGAAAATCGGTTCAGATTTATTCTGATCATATATATACTTTATGGGGTCTGCAGTGAATATTTCAAGGTGTTGCAAACGGACAGACAAATTTAATATAAACTCCCCCTAGTAGTGTGTATACGATTTGGTTACGTGTCGGAACATTTTTTTAAGCGAAGTTTTTGAGTGCTGTTCAAAAGGTGTCCCGCGTCCAAACAAACACAACATTATTCCAACGAATTTTGTTCCCTGGAAGAAACACTTCATAGCAAATCGTCTCCTTTATATTCGAAAAACTGTGTCGACATAAAATTTAGCATATCCAAATTGCAAAATGACTGACATATATCCTCGATGTGCTTACGTATTCCATTCTTGGAGTCTCCTTATCACACCTTTGGCCCATTTACAGAAATAGGAGATGGTCTTATCCGTACATCGGCACAACAGGATATTGTTGCTTAATCTTCAATGTATTTGCCTCATAGAGAAGATTGCCCGAGCCAAACACGTTATGGAGCATGAACTAGAGAGATAAAGGTCCAGCGGTAGAAGATAGAGCTCCTAGATCAAAAGGAATTTCAAAATGAAAGATATTCACACAGATACAGTAACCCAAGCTATAGACCCCATTTCATGTGAATGCAGTATTTGGTGTCCACCCACAAACCAGAGCAGCATACGAACTATACCGCCCATCTAAGATCAGGCTGCTGCAGCGTCTCAATTCGTACTGGAACTGAATTAAAATCACCACATCAGACACATACCCTGAAAATGAAGAAGAACCTCTCGATACGCTGCATTTGTTTAATTCCACTCAACTATTCCCAGATGATCTGTGGTCGCAATGCAAGCTCCATTTAAACCTGAAAATTGGGGTGTCAGAAGCAGGATAATATAAGAAGACTACATTCATACATTTAGTTGTTACAACAACAATGTTGAGCATGAAAAGTTTTATCAACAGGAACTCTTAGGGATTTCGAAGCCCCAGATGCGAAAACATAAAATTGTTCAGCGAAGATGTTTTTAACAGCCTAAATGCGAAACAATAATTTCGGTTGCGCTAGGACCATGAAAACACCTTACTTGATTTTTTCAAAGATGTCTCTCACTCTCCAAGTACCCTGAATACCAAATTTCATGCGCTTTGATTGGAAAATTGGTATATGGGAGCTATACAAAGACCGCGCTGCAATAATACAAGGTAGTGTATATTTTTATAGCACATCATTTGTGTCAATCAAACAAACTTAGGCATTTTGGTGCATCACTTACAGAAAATCAGACCAAAGTATATATGAAAATAATTCTGAACCAATTTCAAAACAACTTTGAACTTTGGGTTCGCTCAAAAATTAACAAAATGATGGACGTTTGAAAAAATTTTTTTTTGGAAATCCCATAAACTAATTTAAAAATTAAGAAAGATATTTACCGATTGGATTTATCCTAGTTCATACTATATATACACTCACAGAGAGACGTGTCAACATTTGGAACCGATTGGATTAGTAGTTTCTGAGTTATCGTGCCCGCCATTTGTAAAAACACTGTTACGAGAAAATCGCGTTTGAAGTTTGAGAAGCACTTTAGTGGTCGATTGGTGCTGACACAATAAATGGGTTATATCTTCAAAAGTTATTGAAATCGGCTTTCAATTGTGGCCTACAGATCGGCAAAAACACAAAAATTAAGTTTTCGGTCCACTTGATCTCAAAATTATTATGTGGTCATCACCGAAAATTATAGGCGTTGTCCTTGATTAAAACTGGAACCTCATGGAACAATTTAAAGCGACCAGCGCTATATTTCCGCCCTCCAGTGTGTGCAAGCACCTGTATTGATATTTTATCAATTTTTCGGGTCTATGTCCTTCAGGGGCAAATATATACCCCCAGAATTTTTCACACAAAAGTCAGGGTCCATGTGACCCGCTAAATATTGATCTTTATCAAAACTGGCATGCTTATTCTTTGGGCCGATCTCCTTCCCCATGCAAAAACTAGCGATGTTTGGGCCTCTAGAGCGAGCAGAAAATCAGACAAAAATAAAATTGTTGGTCCATTTCATTCCTCAAATATTAACATTCCCTAAATCTATAGGGGTCTTCATTGGTCAGAACCCATCCTACACTCAACTATTCCCAGATGCTCAGTGTTCGCAATACAAGCTACTTTTTAAACCTGGATATAGAGGTGTCAGGCTAATATAAGAAAACTACATTCATATATTTAGTTGTTACAACAACAACGACCTTGAGGATGAAAAGTTTACTTATCAAGAAATCTTGGGGTTTCCAAGCCACAAATGTGAAAACATAAAATTTTTCATTAAAAATTATATAGAGAGCTATATCTGAATCGATTTCGACGAAGTGACGGAAAATATAGTATAATAAACTGAGATTATATTATATTTTATTCTGATCAAAAAATCTATGCCGTTTTAGCCATGTCCGTCTGTCTGTCCATCCGACCGTGTGCTAAAAGCAAGATAGAGGTCGCAATGTTTAAGATAAAGTTTTGAAATAATGCACATACATTGCTACTGCTTGTAGGATGTTTGATATTAAAATGGGAGATAAGGGTCTCATAAATATTGTGTACTTTTTTCAGGTTTTTCAGTCTAATCCGCTTACATTTTGGATTATTATTGAGCAGAACATGATGCCTCTTGGGGTGTTCTACCAAAAATTATCAACATCGGTTTTCGTTTTGGTATAGCTCCTATATAACGGTACGGAGTAATTTTCGGTATTTCAAAGACTTCAGCCACATTTCCTCACCGATGTGACTGTAATTTGTCATAAATAGTCATTGAAGGCTGACATTTTATTGCTGACATAATAAACATACCTTTTTGCCGAAAATTGTTTATATAGGTCCATGTAAAGGTTCGACACATTTTCCGTCTTATTAAGTTTTAATAGAATTTTGTATTTTTTTATATTTCGATGTACTTACTGCAACTGCTTGAAGGTCATTATGCGCTGGCCGATTTCATCAACGGTACCCTTATTTCGTTTGGCATAAATAACTTTCATACCCAAAAAATC